CTAATACTTGTTTATTTGTTACTCTTAAATTTCTGTTTTTATTTTTTTATTTCCTTTAAGTTTGGAGTTACTCACACAATAATAACGCAATAATAAGTAATAAAGCACACACTCAACATAGCTCCATAGCACTAGGGAAAACCTGTGTCGCGGGTGCCATAGACACACACATAGACAACCACAAATTACACCCAAACTTACGAGAAAAATAAATGTAGGCCATACAAATATTTATCTTGGCCCGGGAATCGAACCTGGGACCTCTGCGCGGCATAATAACCGTCTCACTCTTCAGATGATTACGATAGCGCCCAAAGTCATAATACTTCACTTTCAGACTCTGAACCTTTGGAAGATAAGCTTCACAATGTATTTGATAATTACACTAAATTCCTTTCCTTAGTGCACATCAATACGCAGAGCATCTCGGCTCACTACAACGATTTTCTCATGTCTTTTAGCACTGGCATAGTCGATTGTATTCTCGTGTCGGAAACCTGGCTGAAGCCTTCTTTACCTTGTACTAGCTGTTCCATTCTGGGATATAAACTCTTTCGTAAAGACCGAACTGGTTTTGGGGGAGATGGTGTTGGCGTCTACCTTCATAACTACATCACTGCTGACGTTGTCGTCTGCTCTGCCCTGGGTTGGCTGGAAGAGATCTCTTTTAGAGATAAGTCCACCTTGTCTCACTTTCTGTTAATCTAATATTTCTGATGTATTTTATTTGGTGCAATAAAGAATATACCAAACTTCACGAATTCGCTCACAAGTTCATCATGTATTTATTTATGTGCTTTCGGTATAAAATTATTATCTGTCTATTCTTTTAATTTCTGTAAATCAGTATATGAACCTCACACAATTTCGTACAAAGAAATGCATTTATCATTGACCATAGTCTATATTATAAATATAAATATTATGGAAAGCGGATTAACATACTGTTTAATCAAATTCTTCTAAACGCTAATTATTCAAAACCGTGAAAAGCGTGTTTTTTGCTCTTATATTCAGTACTAAATACCGTATAAGCCATTGCTCTGGGCGCTCGTTAACTTGAATTTATTAAAAAAAAACGCAAACGTTTATGTGCTACGAATATTTTTTAGAGCTGTCGGAAAAATAGCATGAATGATGAATTCCTATGCAGGGATTCATTGTGTTCTCTCGAATTCATTTTTCCTCGTTTTAAAAACTATCGCGACCGGATTTATTGGAAAGTTTACTTGTTTATGGTTAAATAATATTTTACTTATGTAAATTGGATATACTATTCAATATTCCAATGGAGATTGGAAACTTAACATTAAGGAGATACAGCAGTAGGATATTTATGAATTCCAGCAGTACGATGACTAACCAAGAACTAAATGTAATGTGGTCGCCAAATTGATCTATAGGTGCAGGCAGTCTGTGAAGCGACAAAACTCAAGACGCTGATTCTGTACCTCAAAACCAATATTTTTTACTACTATTTGAATTCCCGACGGGAAAATAGGTAGGCGTGAAAATACCTATCAGAGACTACGTCCGATCCGTATCAGGGAGTCTACTCTGGATCTCCATCCGACATCCGTCCGAAACAATTACTGCCAAATAAGCAATACTTGACCAAATGAAAAGACGCGTGATGCGAATGAAGTTTCGTACTGGATACTTTAATTTTGTCGAATATTACTTATTTCACAGTAATTGTTTCGGACGGGTGTCAGACGGAGATCGAGAGTAGACCCCCAGTTCCGAATCCGAGAAATGGTCGGAATAGTTGTAATACTGTTTATACGAATTGCGCACTAAATCCGAATTCTGTCTTCCAAAGTCGAGAATACCTTCAATTCGGATTATTATTTTCGGGAATCGAAGCAACTACGGCATTATTTGTATTTAACGCTTGCGCACTGCGTCCGATCCGAGTCCGAATGCGACGATGACGGCTGCGCAGAGGGATGAAAGGAACCAGCAATCGATATTTATATCATATCGATACATATTCGTATATATACAATGAAATTAAAAAAGGATACACCTACTCCAAATTCATTGTAATTATTAGAAAATATTTCTCTGAAAAGTCAGTTCAGCAGAAAAAATGTACTCAAAACTTTTATTTCTTCTGCGTCTTCATATGTACTAACAATGCGAAAAGTTGAAATTGAAAGGATAAATAGTTAGTAGTAATCTCTAAGTATACAAGCGATATTAATATTTTGTCGGATTCGTATCGAATTTAGCGCACAAGCGATATCCGAAATCGGTCTGCATTTTCTAGGTTTGTACTCGCTCAATGTTGAAACGCATTTAATTCCGTTTTCAAATATTAGTACAATGCAACGCAAAAGTTTAAAGTGTATAATATTTTTTTATTATACGACTTATGAAAACTTGTAAACATAAGTTTTCTCATTAAACTTTGAAATATTAATTTGTTTCTTCTTGATCTTCTACAACCCGCAACCACTTAATGCCTCTTAAGACACCATTCCAATACATTAATCTCTCTTCGCATCCTTTGACTTCTTGCCCTTTCGCCAGACTGTTTCTTTTAAAGTTACAAAGACAGAAAGTTTTTTAAATACGTCCAACAAAAGTTGTTAGTTTTGATGTTTTGACGTCAACTTTATGGACAACAAGTTTATTACATTACTTTAAGAGAGACGAACTTGTTTCACTTGTTGTGTTGTTTGGCTTTTTGTAGCAAAATTACCTTAGTACAGTAGTTTAAATTTCAATTTTACCTTTTCAGAACTTAGGAAATGAAACTATTTTTCCGGATTTAAATCGCGTATATTTGTTTTTTCAAACAAACCGACGTTTCGGGTCCTTTACAGGTCCCATGGTCACCATTGACTGAGGTGGTACAGTCTTCAACTAGTTATGTCTAATATTGATGCAAACCACCCTATTTTTTCACTATAGTTACAATAGTCATTAATTAAATACCTTATTTTTAATTTTACAAAGAAAACTTTCCAATTTACGCTACATTAAGTTTTACAAATTATTTTATTGAATGAATTTTTATTAAGTTTAATTTATTATTAATTAATAATAGAAATTAGAATAAACTAAAACATATTAATTAGTACTGCAGTCTTATGTCTGTTTGGGATTTTTCATTAGAGGAAATACTGGATCCCAAACTGGTGGTATTGAGAAACCATCTTCCCTGTTGAAAATAGGATGTTTTTTAATTTCAATGGCCTCTCGCAGCATTCTGGGTAGATAACAGACTTCTTTTGGAACTTCTTCTCTTTTTAGAACTTACTTACAGATATATACAATTTTGTTGTCATCAGCGCCAGTTATTCCTCAATTTGTGTCTGCTGCTGTTTTTCATCTGTGATCCGTGATTTTAGCAATGAAGTCGACCCATTTCTTGATCACAATTCGTTTGTCGCTTTACTCCATCTTGTCGTCACTATGCCAATATGTCCTGCTTAGTTTCGTTTTAGCTATGTTATCTGATATTATTATGTCTTGTATATACGTTCAATAAGTAAGGTTTATCGTGAAGTTTAATAAGGTCGATTTCTAGGCTAGTCAGTTGCCATATTGAACTTGAGGCGGGCTTTATATTTAAGTTTTGAACACTAAACAGACTGAATCTCGCCTAAAGGCTAATGGTTTTCCACTTCCTCGCGAAGGTAATAAAACGAAACATTAATAGTGGTTATTTTTAACTATAAAATTCTTAATGTTCACGTAAAATTTAATTAAAAATTTTCTCGTTTCGGTGCATGCGGATGACTAAAATAATTTATTAGCTTTTGTTGACGTGGTGTTTTAGTTTTGGGATGAAAATATAAATTTATTTTTATTTTGCAAGTATTCTTTATTAATATGGGATTTAATAATACAATGTAAAATTCTAAAATTAAAGATGATGATAAAAGTATTTTATGCAATTGTAGCATAATGAGGGTTCTTAAAGTCGAATTCCGTGTTTAAGTAATAGGTGCGAGATTTTAAGACCTCATTATTTGCAAACAATACTTTTTCTATGACTAAATAAAATAATCAAACACAACCAATATTAAACTCATTTTGTTAACAATTCATGACAACAAACTCAAGCGAAAGCCTAACAAACACTGCAAAACAAAAACAAAGGGATAGAACAGAAGTGGCCAAGTACCGCTTATATTTTAACCAATTATGTTTTCAGGTCCCATGGTCAACCGTGACCATGGGACCTGTAAAGGGCCCGAAACGTCGGTTTGTTTGAAAAAACAAATATACGCGATTTAAATCCGGAAAAATAGTTTCATTTCCAATTATTTTTTCTTCAGGTTGCAAGATCTTTAGGCCAATTTAGCCAATCAAGAGGCAGTAGAGCGTTTGATAATTAGCAAAAATACGACATTCTTTTTTGAAACTCGTTACAGTTCTGTGTACACTTCGTGTGTACAGGATTATTTTATTTTTTAAGTTCAGTAGCGAGTACTATAGACTTTTGATTATGGAATTGATGATAGAATTTTGACACAGAACTAAAATGAGCGCCTTTGTTATATGATTTATGAAATCATAATTGACAGATTTAGATTTAGATTTAGATTTAGATTTAGATTTAGATATTTATTATCTTGCAAACTTTACATTATTATATACAATATATTGTATTACAAGAATCGTTACAAATAGTAATAAATGTTACATTTCAAAAAATTACAAATATTCAGTACAAGTTTTGTAGTACGCAATTTTAACATATGTGAAATAAAGTACGAACATATTAAATAATATATTGTATATACAGATTATCATATAAAAGTACAGGAGAAGAAAAAAGTTTATACTTATCTATAATGTAAATTAATGGATTTTAATTTTGTTTCAGGTATAATATGGCCATAAAAAGCAACCGCATGATGACAATGATAAAAGTGTGAAGAGAAAAAACAAAATGTCGTAGGAAGCACATCAGATGAAATTGAAACTAGATATAAACGAGACCGGATAGAGAAATGGGTCTGCAAAGGTGATATTCGCAGAAAATGGCTACCGATAGACTGCCACTACACCTTTGTAACTCAATAAAACAATACTGGCTGGAAATAGAAACGAACCTGCACAAAATTCAAACAGAGTATCTCATTAATTTAAGAAAAAAATTAAGTCTAATCGAATTGCAAGAAAAAGTGAAGTTGGTTATTTTACTAGTGTTGTTACTGACTCAAAATTCGAACGGTAACAGTTTTAGTGGAAATAGGAATTCTATGCTGCGAACTAGAGTTATAGGTACTAGATACGGGAGGTTGCAAGGAGTGATACTGCCAATGGATCAGCATAAATATTTGAAGCCAGTTGAAGCGTATCTGGGTGTTCCATACGCGACGCCACCGACGGGCTCGAACAGGTATGTTTTATTCCATTTTATGCTTTGTCGACTTGTTTATTCAGCGAAGCTAGGTCATTCGTTCCAATGGATAAGACAGATTCTAGGCTCAGTATTCTGCAGAAATAGATTTGTTGCATTGCACGTAGTGCTTTGACTTCTATTGAGTGAATAACTAAAGGTATATTTAGAGCTTTGTTCTTCTATTGAGTCTACAAGTAGGTACCTACTAGTTATGTATGTCGGGGTCAACGTTTTAACATGCTCTCACTTTGGCGACCTTCGCGGTCGTGGCTTACACACATTCATGGTGTAGCAATCTCTGAGGTCCCGGGTTCAAGTAGAAAAACTAACTTGTCTTTATTGTATGGTCTGGGTGTTTGTGGTGCAGTTATTTTTCCGATTTCTATAATGCAAGTGCTTTACTTACTTACTTTAGGACCAGAGCAATGTATGTAATGTTGTCTAATATAGAATCGATTGTTTACATTGAGTTGGGAATTTCTGAGTTTTATTGTATGTACCAAAATGTTCATAGTGATTTTAATTTTGTCTGTTATTTAATTTTATTTCAATTTAGTTTCATTTTTTTTTTTTTTAATTTTTATAATTGTTGATTAATTCTTTTGACCGTAACTGTAATTAACTTAATGTAATTTCTATGAGTCTTTGTCGCCCAAAATAAATTATTTTCATTTTTTATTTATATTTCATTTTAATTATTTATTTAATGTTTATATTTATAAGTTATTTATCTCACTTCCACACATTTTTTGCTTCGAAATTAATAATTAGATAGGATTAACTAATAATATTCATTTGGACTTTAATAGAATATAAGAATATAGATAGAAATAGAAAAATATAGAATAGAATCATTTATTTCATATTATTAATTTCATAATATCACAATTCGAAATATAATGTCAAAGGATAACATGATCATCATTAAGGTAAATAATAATTTTAATGTTAATTTAAAAATAAAATAATTAAAAGAAAAATAAAGAAAAATACGAACTACAAAAATACGAATAAAAATTTAAATATTTTCAAAATACAAACGTCCAAAATTAAAAATATAATTACAATTTCTTTAAAAGAAACTGTAGAATTCATTATCCAATAAAAGGTCTTTCAGTCGGGAACAAAACACTTCGTCATTTGTAACACTTTTTAGACTTGTGTTCGTAAAATCGGGGTCCGATTACCCGCGGATTTCTCGTTGCGAGTTCGGTTCGATGAGCAACGGGTTTCAGTATTCCATAGCATTTTCTTTTTCTATAAGAAATTGTTGCTTCTACTCCTGGAGATTAAATAAATTTGTATACATTCATTAATATATAATTTTGTGATTCACGGATTTACAAACGCGAGAGAAATCTAAGAACCCCTAGTTATTTCTCACATTTAATCTCCGTAACAACATGGTGGAAAACAGAAGCCAGAAATAACACGAATGTATGTTACACGTGCGTAATAAATCATCTTGTGAACACTTTGAATTAATCTTGTTCTAAAAGTTATAAGTTCCTGTTCACGTGAGTTCATTGACTCAGAAAATTAAATTAATTATTAATCATTTTTAGCCGACTTAAAAAAAGGAGGAGTTTCTCAATTCGACTGTATGTTCTTTTTTTTTGTTGTTTTTTTTGTATGTATGTTACGCGATAACTCCGGTATTTGTGAACCGATTTTCATGATTCTTTTTTAATTGGGAAGGGAGTATTTCCATAGTGGTCCCATTTAATTTTGAAGAAAATGATCCACCTCAAAGGGTGGCTGTTCACGCATGAAGATTCATTTTTATAAATAGCGTCTAACTTTAATTTAGGAGCAATTACTTTTAGCAATTATTTAGTTGATTTTGCTATTTCTCCAATTAAAGGCGTTTTTCCCTCGATATACTTTGAGTAGTGTCGTAGTGATAACCTATTTTTATTATCTCCAGTATCAAGTCCTGTATAATGGCGAACTAGGGGATATTTCAATGAAAGTTAGCAAATAGACGTAATTCTACGTACTTTTGAGGTCGGTTTTTTTAGTACTCTGTACTGAGATTATTATTATATTTAATAACAGTATAGCGTTTTGTGAAACAAATTAATTTCTGCCAGCGAGCAGTAAAACGGTTTTGAAATGTACAGTTGACACTATAGGCACATGAGACTAGTCAAGTTTATGTTTCAAGATGACGGGTGCCAGTGGCCATGCCCCTCAAGATCTTTGCGATTTAAAGCATCAAGTGACACTGCTACTGTTATGGGTAGGCTTGTGGCTTACCACCAAGTTTAACGACTTGTTCGTTTCGCCTCTTGATATTATCGTAAAAAAATATTATAAAAGGAACTTAATCTAAATGCAACACAACACTCTTTATGGCACTCAGAAACAAAACACAGAACAAGAAGTAACAAGGAAATGCAAATCACATACTATTATCTTAAATTCATTGTTTTTTCAATTATAGTTTGATTAAAAAGCATTTCTTTTAATAATGCACTCTCATAGCCCCGCACTAGAGAAACTCTGTATCACAGATGCCATGGACACACACATAGACAACCACAAATTATACCCAACCTCACCAGAGAAACGAATGTAAGCTATACAAATACTTCTCCCGATCTGAGTATCGAGCCCGAGACCTCTCCGTGCTAGTCCAGTATGGTAATCGTTCAGGCACGCAGGCAGTAAAATGTTTGCAGTTCGTTTTTGTAATGAAGGTATTAAAAATTGAGTTCAAAAGAGAACGTAAAGATGACAGCATAAAATGTGGAGATTGTTTACAGCCACTGTCAAAATGAGAATTGAGCAATTGTGTCATAACCTTCTTTATTTCGTCCTATTATGACCTGCTATACATATAAGGTCCAAATAGATCATCAAGCCACTCCTTGACATACACTAGGTATACGAATCATTAAAGCCGCCCGAAATCATCATTATATGTTACCTGGTTCACATAACTGAAAGCCTTTCACTCATTTATTTTATTCGCAGATTCGCACCAACCAGAGCACCAGCTCCCTGGGACGACATCAAAACTGTTGACACCATAGGCCCAGTCTGTCCTCAACGGCTACCGGATATCTCAAACGAGACTCTTGCATTAGAGAGAATGCCCAAAGGCCGACTAGAGTACCTGAGACGGCTTCTACCAAGGCTGAAGAACCAGAGCGAAGACTGCTTGTATATGAATATATATACTCCAGTACAAGGTGAGTTTGCAAGAGATATTTGTTAACATACTGTGTGCAGCATAACCGTCAACGGTGAGATATTTCACGGAATCTCAAATTTAAATAAATTTTTCGTCACAATTATTGCACTAAACATAAAACGGGTCAAAAACATTTACAACTTTAAAATATAACAAAATATTTATCAATGATCTTAGGTACCTCAAGATGAAAGGAAACTAAGCAACTATGAAACAAAATAACTAAGCATACCGCAAAATCGTGCATAAAATGAAAAGATAGAAAATATGAAGTCAGCAATCGTTGTTTCCCTCGAAGTTTAGTGAAAGATATTTTACGTTACATTTATGTTAGTATTGAAGGTTCGTATTGCCAACGCACAGAGTTGAATTTTGTGCTTCGTTTTAGATGAATCACTTATTATTGGAATGACAAGGTATGGACTCTACAAACTTGTAGAAGAGCACATTCATGTTGATAGGTTTCTTTGTCTGTTTATGGTATAGGTACTACGCATAATAGTGAGAACAAGGCAAGTAAATTACACAGAGCTCTCATAGCTTATATTCAAGAAGTATTTGGAATATTGTGTAACCGCTTGTTCGAAAGACGTTATGTTTCGGGTTCACTTTATGCACTAATGCGACAGTCACTCATCTAGTACTGAACACACAGAAGTTTACGACCCGCAGTAAACAGTTTCCAACTCCAATATTAAGTTGCACATGCAAGCAGAAATTTCGACATCCCTCGGATTTCGAGATGCATTCACGCTCTCCTGTATTCCTAGATTATAATTGGCATCTTGGATGATACCAAGTCAAGTAACAAAGGCCTTGTTCTTGATTTGATTAAGGGTTTAAAACGATCTTGAGCCGTATCTTAATTGCGTACTGAGTGGTGTTTATTATCGCCATCATCATCACTTCAGCCGAAAAACTTACACCACGAGATATTCCGATCACCAGAACACTGACCGGTTTTGCACCGCTCGCATGACGAAAGAAGTGTTTGTCCGTCTGTTTGTGGGATTGTAACTCCTAAACAGAAGATTGTCTCAAAGCGCCTTTTCATTTATTTGAAGGCTAATGTACACAATCAGGATGGTTCTTAGATATGTTTGGTAAACACCTGTTCAGCTGTTTGTGGTTCGTTTTATCCTGTTAGTGCGTACACTAATTCCTAGATCTCAGTAAAAAAATTAACGTTATATTACTTCGACTTGTCCGATCACCTTGTTTGGTTTGTAATGGAATTCAGATGATAGAAAGAGATAGATAATATGACAATAATATGATAACTGTAATTCGATACTGCAACCAGGACTGTCTGCAGACTACTTAACTCCTCACCTACTTACAATCCAGAACTATCGGCTGGCCTCATTAGATTGGTTTCAATGATTTGTTAACTTACAAGTTTCCGAAGTACACTGTTCTGAATAACTAAACAAGACTTTTTCAATTTCAATTTAACAGAACAAAAAATAAACAACCATCTTGTAGTAATTATCGAAATTTCATGTTCTCGCTTCATAAAAAAGATACTTCTCTTAATATAAAATATAGCAACTCGCTGAAATAATAAGACTCGCTTAATAAAAAGTTCGCGTGTCCACAGTTTGCAGGCGGTTCTCCAATTTTCTTAGGAAATTTCTTTTATCAAAAACATCGGACAAGCGCAAAGTGGTTTCATACATGAAGGTTCTTTTATTAAATTAGCTTTGAAGGCTTTTGTGGTGTTCGATGAAGTATTTTTATATAAAAATTTTTAACATTGAATTGTGTGACGCCCCAAATTTCACTAAGTTTATTATAGTAGTAGTAGCCCGAGTAGTTGTGCCCACACTCGAAATAATTTCTGAAGTGTTACAACTGTTTTAATAAATACCAGGTAAGCTAGTTTTTTCGACAAATTTAATGTGTCTCCAGCTGAAAAGTCAGTTCTATTGCAGATACTTTTTCTTTTACGTGACTTTCTTTTGTTTCAAAAAATTCGTCTGCAGTCATAAAATGGGCCAAAGACAAACAGTTTCTTCCGGGTCCAGCTAGTTTCTTTGTAAATAGGAGACTGCTATATGTACTTTTAGCAAGTTCTGTATCAACTTCCATGTTGTCTTTCTGCTGGCTATCTTGTCTAACTAGAGTTTAGAAAGTTTTCAGAGCAACCTATTTTAGGTTTGGCACATATTTTGAAGCTCGTGTCAAATTCGTCCTATAAATCAATTATATTCATATATACCAAATATTTAAAATCGAAGTAAGATCATAGTGTAATAAAACATGTATGGTAAAATATTTAAAATCGAAATAAGATCATAGTGTAATAAAACATGTATGATAACTCCACAAAAACTTTGCAATGTGACTTGTATGTGCGCACGCCCGCCGCATGCCTTGTGCGGACGCACACATTCGCATAGTTTCGCAGTGCATTCAAGTTGAAGCGTTTGCTCGCGGTTTAAAAAATTACATCAAATACTAGACTTCATGATTATGAATACAAAGATCGAACACACAGAAAAATTTCGTTGACCCGGTGGAACTTGAACCCAAGTCCATGCTGCACCGTAGCATTGCTCTGTACCAACTGAGGTACGGGTCCAGTTACTGGGACGTTGAAATTATCGTATGTGTTTTTATTATAGATCGTTGTACTGGCTTTCGGTATTCGTCGCCGCTACTGACATCTAGTGAGAGATTTTTGAATAACCTTCTCACCGCAGCCGAACCTTTACACACTTTACTTTAACAGGTGTCACAATTGACGCATATGTCGCTTATCGATCAAATGTATATATTGAAATTTTTTATTTATTTATTTATTTATTTCTAAATAACACTAAAACTATACTAACCTAATACGACAGTAAAGCAACAAATTATGATTACTAAGCTCTTATAGCTACCAATACAGATTAATATAATTATATAACTCAAAATAGCCCCGCAATTTCATCATATTAAAATTCGAAATATAATGTCGAGGGATAACATGATCGTCATTAATAATAAACTAAAAATAAAAATAAATAATAATAAATGAAATAAATAATAGTATTATTGTTAATATAAAATAAAATAATTAAAACAAAAATAAAGAAAAATTCGAACTACAACTGTACAAAAAAAAAATTAAATATTTTCAATATACAAACGTCCATAATTAAATTTATTTTATTATTATTTTTTTAATCTCATTTTATTTTATTATTTAAATTTATTTATATATATTATTAATTAAAATTTAAAGAAATTGTAATTAAATAATTACAATTTCTTTAATAAAAATTTCTCTACACTGTAGAATTCATTATCCAATAAAAGGTCTTTCAGTCGGGAACAAA